TAAAATTTGCAGGAAAATCCGTAGAAAAAGTTACCTGCAAATTTTTTTTACCATTTAATAAACATTACTTACAAAATTATTTTTGCAAGAAAATATGCAAGAAACAAAATAAAATGCTTACAATATTTTCTGCAAATTTTTACCATGGAAAAAAATTTCTATGATTATTAAAATTGTAGCAAAATTTGTAAGAAATATTTGTAAATTATTTTTCACAAATAAATTCGTAAAAAATTTCTGCGAATATTTTTTTGCAGGAAATTTCGCAAAAAATTTCAGCGAATATTTTTTTGCAGAAAAATTTGTAAAAAAAATTTGCAAATATTTTTTTGCAGGAAAATGACACTTTTCTAGTAGTGAAACTCTTTTAATTTCTTTTTATTTTGTATAAAATTAAAATGTTTAAAGTATAAAATAAGACACTCGTTAAATATTTTATTAACTATGCATATGTTAAAGTTACATAGTGATGGCAAAGAAAGGAGGAGTGGAAGATGATCTTCTCCTTAGCTTCACCTAGGCGTGGATCTTCTTCAAAGGATCTCAAGACCGAATGGATTGGAGACTTAAGGAATGAAGATTCTCGGATGGAAAGAGGCTTAAGCCTTGGATGGAAGTATCCAAGCTTAAGGTTCAAGGGAAAGTTCACTTCAAAGAGGAGGAAACCTAATAGGGTTCCTAAAAGTGTAGCTCTATCTCACGGTGACTCTCAAGGAAATTTGGCTGAATAAGCTCTCAAATTTCATTAATCTCAAAAGTGTTTACAAATATGAAGTAAGGAGGTTTATATGCTTCACGGAATTAGGGTCATTGGCGCCAATGTGAAGGGTTCACATGTGGCGCCAAGTTTTGAAATTCAAATTTCAAAAATTTGAATTTCAAAACTTAAGTCACATGTCCCATCCGGTTCTCATTAGTGCTAATGCATTTAGGTTGGATTTAGTATTCATTTAGGGTTGCATTTTGAGTCACACAAGTTCAACCAAGGTGGCGCCAAACATGTGACCCAAAATTCAACTTAAATGCATCCTAAATTAAACCTAGTTTACCCTAATTCAAATAATCTAGTAATCATCCTTAAAACCTAATCTAATGACCTAAATACAATGGTCAAGAAAATACAATGAATAGGAAAATTTACAAGAAAGAAAATGAGCCCAATATTGGGTATCAAAAGCCCAAAGCCCATGAAGCCTAATTACAAGCCCAAAGTTCACAATCCCTAATCTATGGTCAAAAATACAAGACCAAGAACAAAGTAATTTCCTACTTTATGAATTTTGCAATAAAAGAATGGTCATGTCAAGCAAGATTGGCCCATGTGAAGTTTGTCTTGGGCCTTTCAAGCTCATGAGGGCTATTGGGCCTTGACTGGCCTAATCCTCCATGTCTAGCCCACTCCTCTTGGATCTTTGAGTGTGTCACCTCTTGCATTCCAAAGTATGATTCCATCACATAGAGCAAATATTATTTAAAAAAATCATTCAAACTTGTAGCAATAATAACAGTAAAGGATAACAAAATTAATAAATGTGTTAAAATAATCTTCCTTTTATCTTAAATCTGTAGTTTTTTTTTTTTAAAAAAAATTGTATTTTTAGTTCTTCAATAATATTAATTTCATAATTTTTTATCTTCTATTTTTAAATTTACAGTTTTAGTCTCTTAATTTTATAAAATTCATAATTTTAGTCCTCATGTTGTAATAATCCGACAAATCCCTCCACTTTATAGTTCATCAACTAGTAGCAAAAAAACATGAATCTAACTACCTACAAATAACATGTAAGAGTGCCTAGATATACATGCAAATATATATACATCTGTAAACATTTTATCAACAACTGAATTAGTAAAATAAATTCTTCAGTGAGATTACAACTATAACTATACAAGCATATATATATGTGTGTGTGTGTGTGTGTGTGTGTGTGTGTGTTAAGCTTTTCGAGTAATCTTAGAAACTCCAGACTTGCAAACAAGTAATTGGGAAAATAAACTCTTTCCTCATTCAAAGAATTACATTCCTATTTATAAACTAAAAGAAATAACTAATGATAACAAAATCTAATCATATCTACTGCAACTACTTAATTGATAAAAGGATAAGTTAATGATAACAGTCTTATCCGATAAATATTAAGTAACAAAATCTTTTATCCAGCTGGGTGCTCTTCGAACACGTGTGAGTACATCCCTTTTTGCATGGGTTGTATCATTACCCCTCCCATGGAAAAGGACCTTGTCCTCAAGGGTCTGAGTAGAATAAATAGTTTCCAAAACATCCCAATCTTCCCAAGTAGCATCATCGCGGGTCTGACCTTCCCATTCCACCAAAACTTGATATTTTGCACCTGTAGCATCATGGATGGTTCGTTCAGCTACAATCAATTTTGGTTGGGGAGTATTAGGTGCAGAGAAGTCTACAGTATCCACATGGGTTGGTGGAATGGGACCATTGTAAGTTTTTAGAAGTGATATATGAAAAACAGGGTGTATCTTGCAGTCCGATGGCAACTCTAACTAGTAAGCAACGGGTCTAATTTTGGCAGTGATACAAAATGGTCCATGATAACGTTTGGAAAGCTTGTAGTTGAGACGCTTGGTTGCTGAATGTTGTTTGTAATGGTGAAAATTCACCCAAACCCACTATCCCACCTCATACGACTTGGCCATCTGTTTGGTATCAGCATATTTGCGCATTCGAGCTTGTGCGCGGGCAATGTGGTCTTGCAATTGTTCTTGAATCTGAGTTCTGTTGGTAAGGTCCAAGTCAACATCTTCAACTGAGGCCGAGCCTGGAATGTATGTTGGGAGTAGTTTTGGGTTAGTCCCATATAAGGCTTGGTGAGGTGTCATGCCAATTGAACTATGAAAAGTGGTGTTGTAACATAACTCAACCCAAGGCAAATAAGAGTGCCATTGACATGGATGGTCTGCGGTAAAGGCACGAAGATATTGTTCTAAGCATCGATTTACGACCTCCGTTTGGCCGTCACTCTGTGGATGGTAGGCAGTAGAGAAGTGCAATTTAGTATCACCAAAACTCATTAATTGACGCCAAAAAATGACTTAAGAAAAGAGGGTCCCTGTTTGACACAATTCCTGTAGGGAAGTTTGACTACGAGATCCAGAAAAACATGAGCTACAATTTTAGCTGTAAAGCCAGACTTCAAGGCAGAAAAATGGGCTGCTTTGGTGAGTCGATCGACTACTACGAAGATAGTCGTGTAGCCTTGTGATGAAGGAAGGCCGATGATGAAATCCATAGAAATTTCAGTCCATGGTACTGTAGGTATGGCCAATGGTTGAAGAAGCCCAGGAGTCTTAGTAGTAAGATGTTTGGTTTGTTGACAAATTAAGCATGCTGCAACAAATTTCTCCACGGCTTGTTTGGCTCCTTTCCAATAAAATTGCTCGATCACACGTTTATAGGTCTTTAACACACCAACATGGCCGCCTTGGGGAGTTGGATGAAACTCATGCAATACCTTAGAAATCAAAGGAGAATTGGCAGGGAGGAACAATTTAGAATGGTATAAAATTAGACCATGTTGCACTGAAAATCCAACCGGTAAGGTACCATTCTGATGTTGACGATGAAGGTCAAGAAGTGTAGGCTCAGAATTATTGGCAACACGTAGATATGTTATGATGGCTCCTTCTAATGTGGTGTAGGTGTGTAAAAGTGTGGCCGGTGATCGAGACAAGGCATCTGCAGCTGCATTGCTTTTTCCTGTTCGGTATTCTATATCAAACTCATAGCCAAGGAGTTTAGTGAGAAAATATTGTTGCTCTGGGTTTGATAACTTGGTACATGAGGTCCTTCAAAGTATGGTGATCCGTTCTAATGAGGAACCGTTTTCCCAACAAATAATGCCGCCAACGAGCTACTGCTTGGGTAAGAGCATATAGTTCCCGAACATAAGTGGAAGCCTTGGCCATTTTGGGAGAAAGCTTTTTACTAAAATATGCCAAGGGGTGTCCCTTTTGAGTCAACACTGCGCCAATCCCATGGTTGCTAGCGTCTGTTTCTATCACAAACATAACGGAAAAATCAGGAAGGGCTAAAGTTGGTGTTGTAGTTAATGCCTCTTTGAGGTGAAGAAAGGCTTGTTCAGATGTCGGGGTCCAGTGGAAAGAATTATGCTTAAGCATATCCGTTAAAGGCCATGCAATGCTAGCATATCCTTTGACAAAATGCCTGTAATATCCTGTTAATCCCAGAAAACCACGTAACTGGGTAATATTTTGAGGGAGTGGCCAATTGATCACTGCATCAATCTTTTGTGTATCCACCTGAACACCCTGGGCAGACACCACATGGCCAAGATAATTGATGGACTCTTGACAAAACTCACATTTTGAAAGGTTTGCAAATAACTTGTGAGTACGTAATGTATCTAATACCAGAGTAAGATGAGAGATATGGTCCTCCATTGATTTACTATAAATTAAAATATCATCAAAGAAAATAGCCACAAAGTTACGAATATAAGGCTGGAAGACCTTATTCATGGTTGATTGAAAAGTGAATGGGGCATTAGTGAGACCAAATGGCATGACAAGAAACTTATAATGGCCATGATGTGTGCGAAAGGCAGTTTTACCAATGTCTTCCTCACGCATACGAATTTGATGAAAACCTGATCGTAGGTCAAGTTTTGAAAAAATAACAGCACCATGCAGTTCATCCAGGATTTCTTCAATTGTTGGGATAGGAAACAAATCACGAATAGTGATTGCATTCAATGCTCGGTAATCAACACAGAACCTCCAAGAACCATCATTCTTTTTAATCAAAAAGACTGGAGAAGAAAAAGAACTTTGGCTGTCGCGGATGATGCCAGATTTAAGCATTTTAGCAACTAAACTGTTAGTCCCTTAGCCTCATATAACTTAAGAGGGGGGGTGAATTAAGTTTTATTATTTTTATAAAAAAAATACTTATATATTCGAGTTTAAAGTAATAAAAAAAACATATTACTTAAACAATGAAATTCACACTTTCAATAATAATAAAAAGAAAAAATAATTATTAATTAATAAAGTATAAACTTGCGAATAATAAAGTTTATAAATTTACAAATCCATAATAGTGATAAACGCCAACTAAAAAAATATAAAAATCAAAATCTATAAATAAAAAATAAAGAACCTAAAAACATTTAAAATCAAAAAAACTCTTCAAGGTTTTGCCATACTAGCATCCCAATGTTGAACTGCTTTTCGAAATATATCCTCCTTCAACTCATTGTAACAACAATTAACCAAATTAAGTGCAATCTGCATTCTTGTACTCGGGTTAACCTATCAAACATAATACAAATCAAGTTATGACAATTAAAAAAATTATTTATAAAAATATGTTATAGGATAAATATAATTTTTATTATACTGCAACAGATAATATACTTACTTGTACTTCATGATAATCATTTGAATATCCGCAATCTTTCATCCATTTGCAAACCCAAACTCCACAGTCACCACTAACATGCAATGAATTTTTTTTAATGTAAGTTTAATCTATTTGATTAATGATATACCTTAATTATAAATAATATATATAATCAAATAATAAGACTTACGATCCATGTTCTTGACGACCAAGATTTTTAGGCACAACGATAGGAAAGTCTGATATGACATGTTTATATATAAATTTATCGTCATCATTTAACTCATCTAAGTATATTGCCTTCAAAAATAAAAATATTTGTTAGAATATAAAAGGTAACATGGATAAATATAATGTTTATAAAATATAGTTTATAAATACCAGTCTATGCACTTGTAGCTTTCTGTGCTTGTCTCTTGCAACACATGGTAAGGAATCTAATATTAACAACTTCCTTTCATATATGTCAACTACAAGTAGGTACCAATGATCGTTATTGTCGTTGATAGGAATAAAAATCTGCAAATAGAATTTTTCTCATCATTAATAGGGATAAAAATTTACACCTATAAAATTTATTTTATAAAATGTGAAAACATAAAATATAAACTAGTTACATAATAAATAACCTTTTGAAGAAACTTCAAATTTCCCATAAATTCTTCCTTGATGAAATCCATTGCTTTTGTATGCATATAACCCTTACTAAGTGCATATTGCTATTATGATACAAAAGAAATAAAATTGGAAGGTTATATATTAAAAAATTAATAATAAAATATAAAATATTGTACAAGTATATTCTCACCGCAAATGTAGTTGGCAAGTACCAAGTGTTATATTCCATGACTGTTGACTTTTGAGCCGATAAGCTCTCAAAGAATCTAAGCTTACAAACCATCAAATTAATAACCTAAAATTGATAAATAAAAAATCAATTAACTTCACATAAAAAAAATTAATTTAATCATAGGTATATAATTTATAGGTTTTGTCTTACCTCTTGATCCAACCAATCATTGGGCGTAAGGGTCTTTAATGTTTTCCTATCTCCAACGAAAGATTTGCATTTGACAAGAATTTCGTTTCTACACCAAAGATATCATGTATAATTATTGATATTAAAAATAATTATTGATATTAAAAATAATAATTTAATTTATTACATGCCCGTGAAGATTATCTTCGTCGCGCATGAATATATACGCTGCAAAATATGTATCATCTGCGTCTAGTTTCATATTGGAAGGAGGTCTAAATATGATAGGAATTTTCTGCAAAAAAAATATTTAATCTATGTTACTGTAAACAACATTTGATTTAATACAATAAATTAATAATGAAATTAATTATTATTAATATATATATAACTTACTTTTGGCATTTGAACACCAATAATCCTTCCATCAATCATATATGGAGGCATTGGTTGAAAATTTATATAATAATCATTATCTTCTTCATAATGATCGATCAACCTCCTTCTACTTTCATTTTGACAATCCACTGCTGAAGGATGTGAATTAGTTGAAGAACTTTGCTGGTTATTATCAATTAATATTTGAAGTCCTGATGGAGAAATCGCGAACTTCCATTTGGGATATCTATCCACTATCATTCTCGCTAAGCTATTGAAAGTCTCTATTAGTGGATCCTTGGCACTAGCTTGTTCCAAATCCTTATGAATTCTACTTCCATCCAATTTCATGGGAGATGATGCATCTGAGATATTATAATATTTCTCGTTGTCATTTTTTTGCTGAGACACTTGATGACCACTTGTACTATAATTGTAATAAAAAAAATATTACAAAATTTAATTAAAAATCACATAAAATAATAAAATTAAATAATGAGTTTTAAATGAAAGAACCTGGAAGAAATATAAACAATTTCTTGAAGCGGTTTTGTTGTTTTCTTCATCTCCTTCCGAGCAACTGGTTGTATCTTAATTGATTTGTTTGTTGACCGACTACATTTGTTTCTTGGAGCCATTGTTTTGGTAGACGTTTTTGGAACAGGTTTGATGTCAAAATGTGTTCTATATAGAAATTTAAGATAATCCTAATTAGACTTAGAATACATAATTGAATGATGAATAAAGACCTAATAAATAACTATATATAAACCAACAACTTCACAATTATTTTGAATTACTGATAATTTAGATAATAAACAAAATTATATTTGATAAGAAGATAAAACATCTTCTAATATATTTTTTTATTAAATTTGTTTTAAAAATATTATATTTTAGTTTAAAGATATATGTGATAAATAAAAAATTAATCGTATTTTAAATTTTTTTATTTTACAGCATGTATAAAATTTTGGATTAATTAATTATTTTTTAAGTAACATTTGTTTTTTAATTTTAACCTTTTTTTTATTTAACAAATTATATGTAAATTTTTAATATTTTGGCTTTCACCAAATTATTTTTAAATAAAAAATTTGTTATATGTCAGTTAAAAAAAATTACTAGAATATTAATGAATTTTTTAATTCCTTTTTTTATAGAACATAATTGTAATATAAAAAAACTCTAATAAACCCTAAAATTTAAATTTATAAATCGTAATTTTTTTTAATTTATCAAATTATAAAAAAAAATTCATATTTCAAATAATATAGTTAAAAAATTATCATAATAATTATAATATTCATCAATTTTAGTTTGTGCCTGGTTCTGGGAACAAACCATTTCACTAGGCGACTCCTTCAAGGTGTTTATTTTATTTTATTTTGTTTCATTTTCACTTTTTTATTTATTTATTTATTTAAAATTTCATTCACCTTAAATTCCTTTTTTTATAGAACATAATTGTAATATAAAAAAACTCTAATAAACCCTAAAATTTAAATTTATAAATCGTAATTTTTTTTAATTTATCAAATTATAAAAAAAAATTCATATTTCAAATAATATAGTTAAAAAATTATCATAATAATTATAATATTCATCAATTTTAGTTATCAAATCATTTATAATTTTTAAATTAAATCTTGTACATTTTCTTGTTACCAACAAATATTATAAATCTGTTTTATCATAAGATAGTTCTAATATAAAAAAAGAATTATACTAAACCTTAATTCTATAAACATTTTTCTTAATTTATTAAATTATCTTAAAACTTAAAATTTGAAATGTTTCGGTTAAAATTTCTTTTTACCAAAATAATTACGATATTTTAAAATAAAAAATTTGTCATATGTCAATTACAAAAACAAAAACAACAACTTTATAATTATTTTTGAATTATTGATAATTTAGATAATAAACAAAATTATATTTGATAAGAAGATAAAATAATTTTAATTTTTTTTTTGTTAAATTTGTTTTAAAAATATTAAATTTTAATTTAAAGATATATGTGATAAATAAAAAATTAACCATATTTTGAATTTCTTTATTTTACAGCATGTGTAAAAATTTGGATTAATTAATTATTTTTTAAGTAACATTTTTTTATTTAACAAATCATTTATAAATTTTAAATATTTCAGCTTTCACCAAATTTATATGATATTTTTAAATAAAAAATTTGCTATATGTCCGTTAAAAAAAATTACTAGAATATCAACGAATTTTTTAATCCTTTTTTATAGAACATAATTTTAATATATAAAAACTGCAATAAATCCTAAAACTTAAATTTCTAAACCGTAAATTTTAAATATTTTTTTAATTTATCAAATTATATATAAAAAAATTTAGATCTGAAATAATATAGTTAATAAATTACGATACCAATTATAAAAACGTTCGATTTCTGCTTTTGAAAGTGAGGGTATTTGTATGGACGAATATGTACTGGTTTAGAGTCTAGAACCAGATTAATTTGGTGATTAATCTCACGTGGGGGAGAAAGGTAGTGGGGCTCACTAAAGACCAATGCAAACGTGTCTAACAATTGTTGCATCTGTTTTGAAAAATCCTTTGGAGTGTTAGCAACGGGATCATGTTTTAGTTGCATGTGGCACACCAATAGAATGTTATTGCTGTGGAGCAACCTTTTAACACTTGTACTATTGATGGGGTTGGCCTGCAACAAGGTTTCAGCATATAGAACTGTTGGTTGACCCGGGTAGATAAACTCTATAGTATTGAGATCGTAGTCAGTGAGGACACGATGTAAACTTCTGAGCCATGCTACACCAAACACTACATCTGCGCTAGCAATATTAAGATGAAAGAGATCAACAGTAAAGGAAACACCTTGTACGCTTAGTGAAATTGCAGAACTCTTAGTGTTGCACCAAATGAAATCACCATTACCCACAAATACTTTGAAAGGGGTTAATATCGAAGATGGTAAACGCAAGTGTTGTGCAACTGAGGGCTTGATGAAATTAAAAGTACTACCACTATCAACCAACACATTCACAGACTGGCCTTGATAGAACCCTTTGAGTCGTAGTGTGGAGGGGTGATATTCACCTGAAAGGGCATTAAAGCTCACCTCTAGTTCTACGGTTTGTTCATCTAATCCATGACTATCAATGTCGAGAACGGAAAACATCTCAGTGACATCTTCCGGGGCTAAGAGGACGTAACATTAGGCTCTACAATTGTGAGAGGGATTTTATTTTTCATTACAGTAGTAGCAAAGTCCTTGGCAACGTCATTCACGTAACTCAGCAGCTGCAAATTTTTTATATGGGTTTTTATTTGGAGATAGGGAACTAGTTGGTGGAGTGGATTTTGGCATTGTGACGTTAGATGGAATGCTAGAAGCTATTGATTTCTCTAGTGTAGGCAAGGGTTGTTTGGGTACGATTGTAGGAGAAGGTGGTAAGGTTGATCGTGGACGGTTGAAGGGTGACGAGATAATTGGCAGGGAGGGTTTCAAGGAATTTTGGAGGGCCAAATGGTTTTATTCGTGTAAGCGGGCTAAGGCCACAGCGTCTGGGTATGTCGCTGGTATTGCTAAACGTAACTGACATTTGAGATAGTCAGTTAATCCTGCCATGAAAAAACTAATCTGTCATGCCTCGAATAAACCAGAAACTTTGGTAGAGAGCTTTTCAAATTGACTTTGATATTCTGCCACTGAACCTGTTTGCTTAAGTTCCTTCAATGCTTCTTGAGGATTGTCATAAAGATTAGATCTGAAACGATGATGCATCGCTTGGACAAATACCCCCCAATCTTGTGTATAATGGTTGCAGATTAACCACTTATACCAAGAGTAGGCTGGCCCTACCATGTAGAAGGAAGCTATCTTGATCCGTTGATCCATGGGTGTTCCTGAAATATCGAAATATTCTTCAATTCGAAACAGCCAATCATCAACGTCTTCCCCATTAAATGTGGGTATCTCATGTTTGAACTCTCGGAAAGATATGTGATTTGAGCGATGCACAGAATGTGGAGGTGCGGGATTGGCACCGAATGAGTGTTGTGCAGTAATCAACTCACGCATTTGAGCAAATTGTGCGTTGATGCTCTCCTGAAAATTTTGTCGATGCTCTTTGGCCTCGCGCAATTCTGTCTCCATGCGAGCAAGTTCGCTTTCAATCTTTACCAAGCGTGTACCATCAGCCATTGCAGATGCAGAAACTCAATGAAAGCACCAGTGTTAAGCTTTTCGTGTAAGCTTAGAAACTCCAGACTTGCAAACAAGTAATTGGGAAAATAAACTCTTTCCTCATTCAAAGAATTACATTCCTATTTATAAACTAAAAGAAATAACTAATGATAACAAAATCTAATCATATCTATTGCAACTACTTAATTGATAAAAGGATAAGTTAATGATAACAATCTTATCCGATAAAATATTAAGTAACAAAATCTTTTATCCAGCTGGGTGCTCTTCGAACACTTGTGGGTACATCCCTTTTTGCATGGGTTGTATCAGTGTGTGTGTGTGTGTGTGTGTGTGTGTGTGTGTGTGTGTGTGTTTGTGTGTGTGTGTGTGTGTGTGTGTATATATACATACATATATACACACACAGTAATCTAATATTGAAAGTGTAAACTTAAGTTGTCAGTCAAGTAACAACTACAAAAGGAATGTTACGCTGGGGTAGCTCAAAATATTATTTTCATCCTCCAACATAGCTCCCAAAAATGTACTTATTGTCCTCTAGCTTAATCATTCCCTACTCTCATACCAAGTATGGTCACTATAGTCCAACCATAAGGAAACATGCAAGAATAAACTAGGTTTCAAAAGAAAACAACATGGTATAAAAGCATTAAACTAACTATACAACAACTTAATAATTCAACAAACCATTTAAGGTAAAAGTTTAGCAACATAACAACATTTTCAACTTACAATACAACTACACATTCTCAACTTACAACACAATCACGTAACTTGTCAACATTTCAAAATATATAGCATATGAACAACACAACACAATCAACACATCATATACACAATACAACAACTATATGTTTCGTCACACATTCAATTGAGAGATCTCTTACTATATAGGTAAGCAGTCTAAGTGACTTGTCTATACCAAACCAACTTAACAACACGGTCTTTCTGGACTTGCTAGATCAACAAAGAAGTTGGATAAAAAGTCACAACCAAACATGGTTTCTCAAATTTCCCCACATAAATTAAGAAAGTGTAGTATTCTTCTCAAGGTAGAACAACTTCGGTATGAGCCTACCAGGACCTTAGTATGCATAACTAAGCACCCTATGGGATTAGCCCATCGGCTACCCTCCAAATATCTCATTTTTTCTAGTACTTAGTTAGGGATTATGGCCTCTAACCTTGTACCTTACTCAATTTGGTCACTTTGTACACGTATGACTCAACCTTTCCCACAAAAAAATCTACATATTGGTCATTTTATACATGTATGGATTGACATAGCTCCTATATGACATCAATTAAGATCTTAGAGGAGACTCAACACTTCACTTTAAGAAATAAACTTCTCATGAAGGGTTTTTCAACAACTGGACTTGTAGGGCACCAAAACGTCATATCCTCACAATGGGATATTCAACTTTTTATTACAACACATCTCCTCTAGTCATAAGTTGATCAATACAACTCAACACA